AGAGTGCAGACTCTCAGCTTAGTCTGTCAGCAATCTCTCACAGTGATAGCGCTTCTTCAACACAGTCCCTGTCACATGGAGGGGTGCCAGAGCTGCTCGTGGGATTGTCGTACAATGCCACTACGGGGCGGCTGTCAGTGGAGATGATCAAAGGCAGTCATTTCCGAAACCTCGCAATTAATAGGCCACCTGGTAAGTACTTTCACTGCTATTAAATAACGCCATTGAGTCAAAATTTGCTTTTTATTTTCCTCCTCAAGATATTCAATTATGTCATTTCTGAGCTCAGTTTCCTTGCAGAGTATCTGATTGAAAATTAAAAGTATTATTTCAAATACATGTGCTGGTAAAATTTACAGTGTAGTTGGAGGCAATCATATGAAGACACAGCTGACGGGACAGTAATACCTGAATGTCTCTTTTATTGCATACTCCTTCACAACATCTGATTATGGCAAAAGTGCTGTTATACCCAAAGCATAGAGTAATTCTCAGCAGATCCATAAAATAAAAAGAAGTGCTTTTCAAGTGATTATGTGTTAACATGTGATCTACAGAGGTCCTGCCTAGTGCCATTAAGTGTTTCCCAGGGCTATACTTTGTTTAGTTCCCTTGCTGTGCTGCTGAGCGGTAGGTGACCTGGTGCTTTAGGCTCTTTGGGGATCCTGCTGCTGTGAATTCTCTGCTGCTGCACAAGAAAATCTGCAAAAAGATTTGAAAGTTGTTCTTCTGGGTCACAGCAGTTGAGTTCCCTTCCTCCAATACCTAAAGGAAAAAATGGAAATTGCCTTACAGTAGGTTTGGTTAGTCCCTGAGCTGTAGTTAGTCCTTGAGATGGATGGTGGCTGGACGGTGCGGATGCCCACAGTATAGATGGGGTCACGCAGCCATAGTGCCTGGTGTTATCTGCTTTGCTGCTGGGGTGCCTCGTTCAGGGCTTGAATGGCAGTGCTGTATTCATCTCATATTGTCCTTTTGCCTCCTGTCTGAAACCAGCAGCTAGTGGCAATGTGAAATAACATTTTGTTTGTTTGTTGGTGTGTTTGCTTTTTGTGATGTCGTTGCCTGCCTGTCAGAGGTGATAACCCTTGACAGTTCCTTGCGTTCACCGGACTTGACGTAGTGTCTCCAGCGTGCAAAATGCTAAGATTGCCTTTGCAAGATGCTGTGCTCTTTGGCCCAGAGCTAGCAAAATATTTATGTAATATTTCACTATATGGACGTGAAAACTTAAGTTTCCACTAAACTATTCTTCAGTACATTACAGAAATAATCTGTGTCATCAGTCAGCCCTTGAGAATTAAGGGCAAGTCTTGCAACAGTGAAACACATGACCCCAGTCTATGTAGGCCTAGCTAGTCTTGTATTAGCTGTGGCAACACAGGTCTCCCTGTGAGTTACTTAAAGACATGTTCTTGGTTGCCTGTACATATTTTATTAAAAGGTTTCAAGTTGGGACCTTTCTAATAATTTAAAACAAAGGTAGACTAAGACAAGAGTCTTACCACATGCTCTAGCAAGCAAGCTCGCCTGTGTTTATGTATGCTGCAGTGTAGATACATCCTAAAGTTTTATTCTCAGAAATGAAATTAAAGTAGTCCTGATATAGGTCCAAGTTAATTTGCTGCATTTTTTTTCTGGTATGTTTTAGTGTATCTACCTGGAGTATTGGAGCTTTGTCTCTTAGTTGCCTGAAGATGTGGATCATGCAGAGATTCTTTTCTTAAATCAGGTCCTGCACAAGTTGTCTTGTGTCTGGCTGGGTCAGGCATCTGTAATGCCCACTGTTTTCCCATACTGAAATGTCTTCACTGCATAGAACTTAAATAATTGCCTTCCAGCTTACTACCTGTAATATCATGACCAAATTACTGACATTTTTGGTATTCTTCTAACGAATGTCTTTCTGGGTGCAAGTTGTATAGCTCCGTGCATTGCAGTAAGCTGAGCAACCCTATGACTCCTTCACTGTGAGTGCTGGGGAGTTGTGTCTGTCCCATTTCTGGCCTCCGGTGAAATGGGATTTGGCAGATGAGTTCTGTGTGCACAGGTTAGCTTTCAGCACGGGAAAGTTTAGCTGCCTTGATTAGATGTCCTATTCAGCTTTTTAGCTGATGGGCACACAGGAGTGCAGTAGCTTGGCTGGCAACATCATTAAACCTGAGAAGGATTTTGTGTCTGTTGATGAGATGAGAGTGGGAGCAGGATATGAGGAAAAAAAAAAAAGGCATTCCTTTAGGGAGCTTTCATTTTAAATTCTGCCTGAATTTTCCATTTCTGTGTTTGTAGGGCTTCAGATAAACCTAGTTAAATAATTTTGTTATGCTAGCCAAAGTCTTCTGCCATCTAAACTAATAGTCCTGACATCGTTTCATAACAGTTCTTCCATCTTTGCTATTAGGGCTATCTTGAGTTGCTTCTTCACATCCTTTCTGTATCCAGATCAACTTTAGCACTGTCAGACCAGTATCCCTCAGTGTTAGATCAGTTATTAGGTGAAACATGGAAATTCATAAATGATTACAGGCAAATTCCAAACCTATCACAATCTGCTTCTTTTATTCCAAGTCAAATTGTTTCTTCTCTATTTTGCATTGTTCTACTGCGCCTGTGAAGTTTGCAGTAACGTGGTGAGAAAAAGAAAAGCCAGTGAAGCAGAAATTGAAGGAAGTTAAAAAGAAGGAAGAAAACTAGTGCTTGTCTCAGGTACTGGAGTAGCATTTCACTGATAACTCTGCAGGCACTGCAGAGGAGTGCTGTGAGGTCCGATCGTTACTGTCTGAAACATGCTGGTGGCTGAATGAGATGCTCGATAAGTCTTTCGCTAGGTGAAAACTAAAACTGCTATCTCCCTTTCTGGAGGGTGAGCAAATAGCCCTTGTGTTTTCTCAAATACGTCCTATCTGTGGTTCTGTTGTTTGAGGCTCAGAGGGAGTGATTTATTTCTTTAAGGTATCATGGGGGTTTCAGCTATAATAGCGCTTTGGGACACTGAAATACCAAGCCCAAACTGCTATTCAGGGCAGCCATTTATGGCAAGACTGAGAGAAGTCAATGGGCAGAATCCATCTCCATTCCCAGCCCTGCGTGCACAGAGCCTATACAGTACCCTTATGTGGTCCTGTCACAGCCCAGTGGCTTTAGTGTTGGCTGCTGCTGATACCTGCAGCTATGGGGATGTTAAGACAGTCTTGCATGACATCAGATTCTCTAGCTGTGCTTTCTGCCTGCCTTGACCCTCTTCTCTGCCACCTGGGATCCTGCACAGGTGAGCTCAGCATCTTGTGCAGTGTGCATGCTCCCTCCTTGGCATCCTTGCACAGAGATTTCACTGTGCAGAAGGAACTGACTGGGCCATTGGTGATTTTAGGGGTTAAAAACTGCAGAGACTAAACCAGTGGGTTTCTGGAGAAGGAAAGGAAGATTGTGCACACCGCAGTTTTTCCTGGGCACATCCTCTCCTTCGCTTAAACCTTTAAATGGCGTGCAGTGTGTTAAGCTGAGTCAGGTAAATATCGAAGTCATGGGTGCTTACATGGGTAATAAGTGGGTTAGGAAACAGCTGGACAGCTTACAGAGACTTAAATCTTGCAGGCAGTGTCTTCTCTTCAGGTCGCATATGCAGGATTTAAGGATAATTTGGTCAAGGATAAGTGTCCAGGTATTGTTCTGGGGAACATGCTGAATTATAGGCCTGAGTGTACAATCACTGATCACACAAATAGATCCATTATCACTCAAAGCACTTAAGAGCACTCAAGAGTAGAGCTGCAGCATCGGACTGTAAATTATCAGTGTGTGCAAAAAAGCCTCATGCAGAAAACCATCTACGGTTTGTCGGTTGTGGACACCCTAGGTATTTTAGTGCTAATGGTTTGTGTGCTGTGCACCTCATTCTCTTTGGTTCTTGTAAAAATCATTAATCTGTGCTGGCATTTTGTAGGGGTTTGTATTTTGGTCTGTGGTGTTGTATCTTCTTAGAACAAAACCCAGTGTGTTCATTTAAAGGATGTTTACTACAAAAAAAGTAATAAGAGAAGCCTACACTACTAGCGGATGTGTCTTTAAAAATTTATAACCAGTTACATACCATGCACATGGTAGTAGTACCTTGGGATTGTAGTGATGGACCAGGAATCATTTGTGCTAGTCAGTGTATAAACATGCAACAGAGATGGTCTCTGCTCCCATGAAGTTTAACCTTCATCAGCTGCTCTGCTGAGTGCAGCTGTCTCTGCTCTAATCCAGCCTTCATTCCTTCCCCTTTTACATTTCTTTTGGGGTTTATGTCTGTATGTAATGCAATTTGAGAGAGACTATTGTAAAGATATTCCCTCTCCAAAGAAAGGTCCTCCAAGCTTTTCAGCAGCTGTGGAATTAATCACATATAATAATTACATCAGTACATGATCATTACTATACCACCAGCATATTAACCCCACTAAACAAATACAATAGCATTAATGCTGGAAAAGACAGGAGGGAGAGAACAAGCTATCAGGATTTCTGTTGGGAATAGGAGAAATTATTGAAGTAAAGACTTGTCTGAAAACAAACATCAGCTCTGGGGGCCCCAGCATAAGACAGACATGGAGCTGCTTGAGCGGGTCCAGAGGAGGGCCACGAAGATGATCGGGGGCTGGAGCATCTCCCCTATGAGGACAGGCTGGGAGCTGGGGCTGTTCAGCCTGGAGAAGAGGTTTGAGCAGCCCAGCCTAGTGGAAGGTGTCCCTGCCCATGGCAGAGGGGTTGGAACTACATGGTCTTTAAAGTCCCTTCCAACCCAAACCATTCTATGATTCTGTGGTGATTCTACGATCTACCTGAGCCATGGATAACAATGCCAAGAAGTACAGAAGATGTTCTATAAAAATTAGAATCCTTACACAGTATTCATTGCTCTGGTATCAGAGTGCTTGAAAGCCATTAGTGGATTTTATTTTATCAACTTGTTTGTGAGGGAAGGAAATTTACTATCCCTGTTTCATTCCTGGAGAACTAAGGCACATGTTAATTTGTTTAATATCTCCTAATCAGACCAGGAAACCAAATTTAAAAATTAACTTTTAACCTGCATATCTTGCTTTGAACAGGGAACTTGCTTGAGCTCCTAAAGCTTTGTAATTCATACTTCCATCTCACCAGTAATAGAAGGGTGTTCTGTACCAGGGTGAGCTGGGGCGAATTCAGTC